CCCCCGATATTTATCCCCCCCCCCCGAAGGGCCCGAACAAAAATATGAAAATCCGTCTCTGTGTTAGTCCGCAGTGCAATGCATCTAAAACTGAGTATATATCTACCAGTCCTAATGCATCAGTAAATTATCGTTCAGGTTAAACATAACTTTAATTTCTACCATGTATACGAAGGTGATGTAGATTTATAGTTTAATCCTACGGCTTAATGCAGCGAGAAATAGTGGAAAAGTGCTGTATATATTGCTTTCTTGTTGGTTTCATTAATAAAAAAGGACTAAATAAACAAATTTTTGAGATTTGACCAGCCTAAATCGGTCGGTCACATGTCCGGCCATAAAAAGCTTTGATCAGACAAAAGGTAAAATTTGGCCGGACAATGTCCGATGACCGACGCTAATTTGCAGGCCTGGTACAGCCTTTCCCAAGTCTGAAAGCGCGCGCATCGCGAGAAAGGCGACTTTGTTGTGTGCGTTTTTAAATGTGGAGTTTGATGGAACACTGTAGGTTTCCCCAGTTACTCTAGATTCCTACTGCAAAAATAATAATGGATACTAGACTGACCGTTTTCTGGTTGATCCACCTCATCGACAAGTATTCGAGTGGTCTTTGTTTTCCAGTCGTACTAAATAAACCGCAAGTATGGTATCATGAAACACAGCCTGTTCCCGATTTTCGCACAGTTATAATGGACCATTCCCCAATTAACCAAAATTTTAATCTCAACAAGTCTAGACAAAATTCCATCATAGCATGAAAGAGCATCACATTAGTAATATTCCAAAGTTTCGTTGCGAAATGTTGTAAAATGCGGATAATATAGCCTTGCGAAATTTGCAATTTTCAGTCATTTTAGATTACAAACGGGAAATGGTTACCACTTTTCCAAAATTTTGATCTTAACTAGCCTAAGCAAAAATTTCATCACAGCTTGAAAGAGCATCACATAATTAGTAATATTCCAAAGTTTCGTTGCGAAATGTTGTAAAATGCGGATAATATAGCCTTGCGAAGTTTGTAATTTCCAGTCATTTTGTATTACGCACAGAAGTGGTAACCATTTCCCGTTTGTAATCTAAAATGACTGAAAACTGCAAGACTTGCTGAGTTCAAAATTTTGGTTAATTGGGGGAATGGTCCATTATGAAACAAAATTCAGTCTACAGTAAGAGATGAATGCCGACACTAAGATTATTAAAATTGGTCTGGTAGAAGCAATGTTATGGCTGTTTTAAAATAAAGTCTGGTTCATATACAATGGACCATTGAAATCATGGATCAGTTGTGTGAAGTATGGTACCAATTGATGGGTTTGGTGACCAGAGTGTCTTCACATTAGAACTGGACAAGTTAGTCGTCTAGACGAACAAATCGTCCCTCAAAAATCGTCTTCACAGACGGAAAAGTAGTCGAACAAATTCAGACGACTTGTTCGTCTAAAATTTTGTCCAACAAGTTTTCACATCTGATGACTTGTCCGACTAAAAGACGATTTTAAGACGATTTGTTCGTCTTCCAATGTGAAAACGGCTCAAAAATAATGAGCTGTGTAAAAAAAGCTATTCTACTTGCTGTCAGGACGCCTTGTATATTATATAACGCATAACTTCATGATTTTCATACCATTAATATCTTTTTACAACAGAAATGAGGGCCATGTAGCATTCTGGATACATAAATCTAAATAAAAATATTCTGAATTAAAACAACTAGCAAGACAGCAGTCTATGTAACAGCCACGATGTAATAACATCTAAAGATTTTATTTTAATATACAGTGGCATACAAGTTTGTTTCCATCTGGTGATAATCTGGGAAAGCTAACTGATTCCGTTCCATCACTCAACATTTCTACAAAAAGAAGAAAATATAATTATATAAATCTAAAACTCATTAATGATTCATGAGAAAATTCATAAGGAATCAATGTTTAATGAGGTGTTCTATTCACATATACAAATTTGTCTTGATCAACGCCCATAAACTAACTTAACTATCGTCTTGAATTTCTCTGTAAAAAAGTCCGTTCTGCCAACAAGCCGTCAACAAGTTGTGTTCGCACTGCTTGTCCCAAGTTGTCAACAAGTTTGGACTAAACAAGCTGTTAACAACTTGTAACAACCTTGTCTCATCAAGATTGTTATAAGTTGTTAACAGCTTGTTCCAAACTTGCTACAACGACTGGGAACAAGCAGTGCGAACACAACTTGTCAACAGCTTGTGAACATAGATTGGTAATAACTTGTTTGCAGACCTGTAACAACTTCTGCGTTTTCACGTGTGTAGTCGCACTTGAAAACTGTTTATTTATCAGCGTATAAAACACCCCAAAATTTGTGGGAAAAGCTCGGATACTGTAGCAACTCGTTTTTTAACACGTTTTTTGGTCAATTTATATTTTTATACCCTGGTAATTTATTCCTATCTTAATGCATCATTCCATCGCGTTTCTGGTTTAAAATCCCCATGATATATTGTCAATATTATGCGTATTATTCGTTATAATTTCAAAGTTTTCAATAAATATGACGTTTGTACACGAACCACAAGATTTTCCATCGAGAGATAAGTAGTAAATGCCACTCCTAAAAAACAATAATTGTGGTTAGATTTTTTAGGAAGCTAAAAATATTTATTTCACTCATATTTTTTTCAAATTCTTACTTTCTATTATGACAATATTTTAAGCCCAATCTGTACGGTTCGTGATCTCGACCACAGAATATAACCCCATTACCATCAGATGCCCAAATTGCCTAAATAAAAAAATAAATAGATTACTACGTATATTTTTTCCCCAAGGAGGGTGGGTTACACGCGTAAAAATCTCACAACTTGCCAACAAGATGTGTTCACAACAGGTTTGTAGCAAGCTTGTCAACAAGTTGAAACAATGTTGTTATTTTATCAAGTTGCTACAAGGTTGTCACTCGCAACTTGTTGACAAATTGTTGAATTGCAGGACGATAACAAGTTGTTGGAACAACTTGTAACAAGTCTTTTGAGTTCAACAACCTTGTAGCAAGTTGCCAACAAGCCGTTGACAACTTGTCAACAAGCTGGGAACAAGCAGTGCGAACACATCCTGTTGACAAGTTGTTGGAACAACATTGCTACAAGTCTGCAGCAGGTTTGGTACAACTTGTGTATTTTTACGTGTGTAGTTGATTGTCCTTTGTGATAGCGTGTTCACTGCACACTCGATGTATCTTCAGTAAATACCGTCAAGTGTTTACAGGAATGGTGAAATAAGTTGTGTTCGCACTGCTAACAGCCAGTTGTTGTAACAAGTTTAGAACAAGCTGTTAACAACTTGTAACAAGCTTGACGGCATTATCAGACTTGCTACAAGGTTGTTCCAACGAGTCTGATACAGTCATGATATAACAAGAATGTTACAAGGTTGACGACACAAGGTTGTAACAATATTGTTATATATTGACTGCATCGGACTTGTTGGAACAACCTTGCAACAAGTCTGATAATATTAACAAGCTTGTTACAAGCTGTTAAGAAAATGTTCCAAGCTTGTTGGAACAACTTGGGACAAGCAGTGCGAACACAACTTGTTGACAGCTTGTTGACAGACTTGCTACAAGATGTGAGGTTTTTGTGTGTGTAATTGTCAACTGCAGATTCTATGTTCGTTATCCTCATTACCTGGCCTGGAGAGATATTGTCAGGTATTCCATCTAACACTTTGACTTCATCTTTTTCCGTATCCAAGACAACCAACACTGTCACGTGGACGCCAACCAGTTGCTCTCCCCAGTCTTCTTTGAACACAAACTTATTGCCCTATCAATAAAAAGTTTGCATAAAAAAATATACAGTCATTTTAATTCAACTAAACAGTCATATAACTGGAATGGTTTTTGTCAGATACAAATCATAGCAGTTTATTGTAGAATACTACCTACACTAGACCACCACTTTTGAGATATCTTTTTCAGGTAGTTCAGACACAAACCACGACAGCTTATTGTAGAATACTACCTACACTAGACCACCACTTTTGAGATATCTTTTTCAGGTAGTTCAGACACAAACCACGACAGCTTATTGTAGAATACTACCTACACTGGACCACCACGTTTGAAATATTTTTTCAGGTAGTTCAGACACAAACCACGCCAGCTTATTGTAGAATACTACTTACACTGGACCACCACGTTTGAGATATCTTTTTCAGGTAGTTTAGACACAAACCACGACAGCTTATTGTAGAATACTACCTACACTGGACCACCACGTTTGAGATATCTTTTTCAGGTAGTTTAGACACAAACCACGACAGCTTATTGTAGAATACTACCTACACTGGACCACCACGTTTGAGATATCTTTTTCAGGTAGTTTAGACACAAACCACGACAGCTTATTGTAGAATACTACCTACACTGGACCACATTTGAGATATGAACTACCCATACCAATCTTTAATAAACAAGGAACTAACCTTTTCAACCTTGTCCTCTGTTTTTTCATCTTTTTTCACTAAAAATTTCGTATAATTTCTGTCTTAAGAAAGATGAAAAACTGTCCAGTCACAAAACACAAGCCTTAGGAAATGTACAGTACCTTCAAAATATGAACTGGCTTTGGGCAGTTTCTTTTCAGCTGCATATAACAAATATCTCTCGCATGGCGACCAGGTGAAACAACCAAATGTGTCTGTAAAATAGAGTTTTGTTTATGGTGGATGCAATTTCATAGACTCAATGGACCTTTAACCTTATAAGTAAAGTTTTGATCTAGACAAAAATTTCATCACAGCTTGAAAGAGCATCACAAAATTAGTAATATTCCGAAGTTTCGTTGCGAAATGTTGTAAAATGCGGATAATATAGCCTTGCGAAGTTTGCAATTTTCAGTCATTTTAGATTAAAAACGGGGAATTGATACCCAACACCCGATTTGGGTATCAATTTCCCGTTTGTAATCTAAAATGACTGAAAATTGCAAACTTCGCAGGGCTATATTATCCGCATTTTACAACATTTCGTAACGAAACGTCGGAATATTACTAATTTTGTGATGCTCTTTCAAGCTGTGATGAAATTTTTGTCTAGACTTGTCTAGATCAAAATTTTAGTTATAAGGTTAAAGGTCCATTGATCATTCAGATGGACTATCAGCATGCATGCAAGGCTGAAAAAAAAGGCAGGAACTGTTAAACAGCTGCAGGAAATTCGTTTGAATGAAGATTTGCTATTGAAAATTTGAAGGAAACCTTAACACCCATGTCCCACTATGGGTACAACAACGTATGCTTTACAGACATTATTCCTTGAATTTAAAACCATGGTCAGCTAGAACACGGCTATATGTTTACGCACATGCAGATTTAGCACAAAAATACTTCGTTGGTCCGCAGGAAATTTCTAACAACTTGTCAAAAAAATGTTTCCTCAACAGGTTTGTAGCAAGCTTGTTAACAAGTTGTGACAATGCTGTTCCAACAACTTGTCAACAAGATGTCTCCTCAACAGGTTTGAAGCAAGCTTGTTAACAAGTTGTGACAATGCTGTTCCAACAACTTCTCAACAAGATGTGTTTGCAATAGGGTTGTAGCAAGCTTGTTAACAAGTTGTGACAATGCTGTTCCAACAACTTGTCAACAAGATGTCTCCTCAACAAGTTTGTAGCAAGCTTGTTAACAAGTTGTGACAACGCTGTTCCAACAACTTGTCAACAAGATGTCACTTCAACAGGCTTGTAGCAAGCTTGTTAACAAGTTGTGACAATACTGTTCCAACAACTTGTCAACAAGTTGACTCCTCAACAAGTTTGTAGCAAGCTTGTTAACAAGTTGTGACAATACTGTTCCAACAACTTGTCAACAAGATGTCTCCTCAACAAGTTTGTAGCAAGCTTGTTAACAAGTTGTGACAATGCTGTTCCAACAACTTGTCAACAAGATTTCTCCTCAACAAGTTTGTAGCAAGCTTGTTAACAAGTTGTGACAACGCTGTTCCAACAACTTGTCAACAAGATGTCACTTCAACTGGCTTGTAGCAAGCTTGTTAACAAGTTGTGACAATACTGTTCCAACAACTTGTCAACAAGTTGACTCCTCAACAAGCTTGTAGCAAGCTTGTTAACAAGTTGTGACAATACTGTTCCAACAACTTGTCAACAAGATGTGTTTGCACTAGGGTTGTAGCAAGCTTGTTAACAAGTTGTGATAATGCTATTCCAACAACTTGTCAACAAGATGTCCCCTCAACAGGTTTGTAGCAAACTTGTTAACAAGTTGTGACAATGCTGTTCCAACAACTTGTCAACAAGATGTCTCCTCGACAAGTTTGTAGCAAGCTTGTTAACAAGTTGTGACAACGCTGTTCCAACAACTTGTCAACAAGATGTCACATCAACAGGCTTGTGGCAAGCTTGTTAAGAAGTTGAGACAATACTGTTCCAACAACTTGTCAACAAGTTGACTCCTCAACAGGCTTGTAGCAAGCTTGTTAACAAGTTGTGACAATGCTGTTCCCACAACTTGTCAACAAGATGTCTCCTCAACAGGCTTGCAGCAAGCCTGTTCCCGACAAGATGTCTCCTCAAGCTGAAAAGTGTTAAGTTACACCTCTGCATGTAACCTACTGTACCAATCAACCAACCATTACCAACCGACCCACCAACCAATGAGCCGATCTGCCAACCAACCGATGAACACACAGTACTAACCATCATCATTTACTTTCCCATGTTTGTCAAGAACTCCGTCTGATGTGTAACATTTTAGACAACCTCCACTGGACCAGATCTAAATATTGAACATAAAACTTGCTATAATATCAGTGAGTACAAAATGGAAATACAATGTCACTTTCAGTCGGAAAACTATTTAAATTAGCACGGGTGTTTAAGAGCAAGGATTACCTCAATATTTTGAGTTTCTTCTTTATTGTTCTTATCTGCAGGAATTTTTCTCAACACAGCTTGAAACTGACCTGATTTTGACTCACAACACAACTGCCTAAAATTTCAAGTTGAAAACTGTAACACATCTACTGCTGTCTATATATGTTTCTGCCTGCATGCTTGTCCATCTACTGTGGGGAGCTATCTGTCAAATAATTTTTCCTATTTCTAAGTGGAGTTTCACACTATCAGAGCCTGAAATAACCGTTCAAAATTTGTCCGGAAAAATGTCCGACCAAAATGAAATTTGATCAGGAATTAACTTACAACGGACATTTCTTCGATTCCATTTTGATTTGATGCATTAGTTGAGTAAATTAGGCCAGTTTATTAATAATACTTTATGCCAAACACTAGCCATGAGTATAGTTCTTCGCAGGATGATTGGATGTGCAGCTTGTATGGTTAAAAGTTGATTTCTATTTTTTTGTGCAAACAAAATGTCCGACCAATTATGGCAAGTCATGTCATGTTATGTGACACAGGTTCGACATTGGGTTTAGCTAGACGCCGTGCCTTTCATGTGCCAAATGCATAATTTTTCTCAACATACATTATCATATGATTATGATAGATCAGCAATTTAGCACTGAAATATCTGATATAGTGTACTTGCATTTTGGTACTGTACAATTGAGTCCAAAATCTAAATCAGTTGACAAACTTGTGCCATATTTAATTTGGCACATGAAAAGTTCGCCGTCGAAACCTGGACTAATTTTCAAATTGCTGGGACTTACTCAGCTGCAATTTGTCTTGGGAACTTCTCTTCAAAACATTTCCCATCTTCAAAACAACTATCATCGTTCAATGAATAATAAAACCTTCGACTGAATGTTCTCTTATTGTTCAACTCTAAGTTTCTCTGAGACCACGTGCTATTTATGGTCAACGTTTTGTTCTTCACAGAAATCGTGCCTTTGGTAATGCTTGGAATCGAGGCACACTTCCGATACAGGCGTACTGCTTCTTCTTGTAATTTCTAAGAAAAATAATTGATAATTTGTGTTTCTTGTTGACAAAATCAAGATATGATCTGGAAACTAAACTGAAATCATTTTTGTCTGAGTTTATGGTAATTTGTGCACGGTGATTGAGCTCATTGTAATTTCGTATAATGAAGTAATTGTCCAATAGGCAGTAGCGTAGCCAGCCCGACTATTTCGTCCCGCTATGCAAAGATTTCCATGTTCATTGACTGTGAAAACAATCAATTTCTAAAGAAATGAATAATGATAATAATTTTGAATTTGCATAGCGGGACTAAATTGTCGGGCTGGCTACGCCACTGCCAATAGGGATAGCCGAGATGAAACATGCAACCAAGATGAAACATGCAACCACGATGAAAAATATTTAATGAAGTTGAGACAAAGGATTTTTGCATGGTGAGGTATAGTTCAACATCAAACAAAGCTCTTCTATTTTGTAGCTTTGAAGTTTGCCCGGCTTCCAGATCATCATATCTTGACAGACTTTGTAATTGACAAGTTGCTACATTAGTACAAATTGATAATTCAAAGTTTTATTATTATAATATTTAGCCTACCTGAAGTTCAGACATTTTGCAAGGAAGCTCTCTTGGAACTGAAAAATTGAACCGAAATCCCAAGACAAAATATGAAGAAATCTTCTTTTAATAAAACAGTTCACTGTGAGTGTACTAAAAACTCACGTGGAACATTCCAAGAATTCCAGAATCATATGAATTGCAATACTTTATGTTAGACAACTAAAACGGACTATCGTCACGACTGATCTCAAAGTAATACCGGATTGAGACTTCATTAATCCCGAGGATTTTGACTGGTTATTTGAAATGACTTTTGATTGGTTAATTGTACTTCCCTGTGATTCGTTGTTTGTAGTTAATTCTGATTGGCTATACAGATTAGATTTTTCTTTTACAGCGATTTACCCACAAAAAAGATTATTGTACACAATCATCAACATGCATTGTCAATGTTTTTATTCATCAGAAAGCATTACAAAGTTATTCAATATATTCCAAAGAATTTTTCACAATATAGCTCATTTTTTCAAAATACTTTCCATATTTTCTTTCCTCCAAATAAATTTTCCCAAAATTTCAATATTTTTCCAAAAAAAATTCCTGTTATTAGTCACCAGTCAATTGCTCGGTCAAACTCGTTCTCAGAATTCGTCGCCTTCTTCGCCACCCAACTCGTCATCCATGGTATCCATGCCAACCTCCTCGTAGTCTTTCTCAAGGGCGGCTAAATTTTCCCGCGCTTCCGTGAATTCACCTTCTTCCATGCCCTCGCCGACATACCAGTGAACAAAAGCCCGCTTGGCATACATTAGGTCGAATTTGTGGTCCAGCCTGGCCCAAGCTCCGGCTATGGCAGTCGTATTACTCAACATACACACGGCTCGTTGAACTTTGGCCAAGTCCCCCCCGGGAACGACTGTTGGTGGCTGGTAATTTATTCCGACCTAAAAAATTGAATGTAAAAATCTCACATCTTGTAGCAAGTCTGCCAACAAGCCGTCAAGAAGTTGTCCCAAGTTGTCAACAAGTTTGGAACAAGCTGTTAACAACTTGTAACCTGAAGCTTGTTGATATTATCAGACTTGTTGCAAGGTTGTTCCAACAAGTCCGATACAGTCATGATATAACAATATTGTCACAACCTTGTGTCGTCAACCTTGTAACATTCTTGTTATATCATGACTGTATCAGACTTGTTAGAACAACCTTGTAACAAGTTTGATAATGCCATCGAGCTTGTTACAAGTTGTTAACAGCTTGTTTCAAACTTGTTACAACAAACTGGGAACAAGCAGTGCGAACACAACTTGTCGACAGCTTGTGAACAGATTTGTAACAACTTGTTTGCAGACCTGGAACAACTTGTGCGTTTTTACGTATGTAGTATCTTTACCACCAAAATTAGTTTGTAAAGTACATTTTTGAAGTAAGTTTTGTAAAGTACGTTTTAAATCCCACTTAAAAATTACTTGAGCACGCAAATTGAATTCATAAGGTGACAATTTAGGAGGCGTTTTATGTACTAGATAACATATGAGCAGCCGATCCGTATCTGATATACAAACTCGAGCCGAAGGCGAGAGTTTGTATATCAGATACAGATCGGATGCGAACGTTTTATCGTACATGACCCATCTTATGAGTTCATTGGCAAAATAATTTTAAAAATAAAGTTTGTCTAAGCCGAGAAAATCAAAGCTGAAGTTTATGTGAATCAGGACAAATTTTTATCCGATTTACAAACATTGATTAAACATTCATGTATTTTGTATTTCCTCGTGAATTATTAATAAATTTTTTAAGAATTATCAAAGTACCACACAATTTCATGCATACAAAGTCAAACGCACGACGTTTAAAAGGATTTTTTGACACATTCTTCACAAAAATCACTTCTTTATTTACCTTGAACCCAGTTGGGCACCAGTCTACGAATTGTATGGTACGTTTTGTTTTGATGGTTGCTATGGCAGCGTTGACGTCTTTGGGCACGACATCGCCACGGTACAGCATACAGCATGCCATGTACTTGCCATGTCTCGGGTCACACTTCACCATCTGATTGGCCGGTTCAAAACACGCGTTCGTTATCTCGGAGACGCTGAGCTGCTCGTGAAACGCCTTCTCGGCCGAGATCACCGGCGCGTATGTCACCAACGGAAAATGTATTCTTGGGTAGGGCACCAAATTTGTTTGAAATTCGGTCAGGTCGACATTTAGCGCACCGTCGAAGCGCAGGGAGGCTGTAATCGAGGACACTATCTGACCGATGAGGCGATTCAGGTTGGTATATGTAGGACGTTCGATGTCCAAGTTTCGACGACAGATATCGTATATTGCCTCGTTGTCCACCATAAAGGCGCAGTCGGAGTGTTCCAGGGTTGTATGGGTTGTTAACACCGAGTTGTATGGCTCGACAACAGCTGTTGAGACCTGTGAAATTAAATCAGATTTGTTATTTGGGATTTGTTATTTGCAATCGCCTGATTTCTTCGAAAGACGCTTCATCCAATTGTGTCAGTTTCCAAACACTCTATGTCGCGTATTTGGGATGGAAAGTGTTCAAAACCTAAAATATTTTTGGTGTTCTTCTCAAAATTAATTTTACTTTATTTTGTAGTCTACACAGTTAGCAACCTTTTTAAATGTATCTGGCGGTTGAGAAACACAAAATAATAGTTAAATATTGTCAATTCAAATACAATTATCATTGATGCTGAAAATTGACGCCATATTTATACAGCAATATAAGCAAAACTTACTGAACTTCAGACATCATTTTCTCTTTGGCGTACCATCTAAAACCTCTTCATTTTAGCAATATTTTACAAATATAGTTTAACAGATTAAATTAAATTGGATAAAGCTAACACTTGCCGATTGAGCAACGTATCAACAATTGAAAATTTTGAATATGGCATAACCAAGTCAGGGGTGTAGGAACCGGGGGAGGCACGGGAGGCACGTGCCCCCCCCCACCCCCAATTTTTTCAAAGGACTAAAAGTGCCCTTTTTTGTGATGAAAAGTGCCCTTTTGTGTGATAAAAAGTGTCCTTTTTGTACAAGCTAATGTCGCTGTAAACACTAAATTAACATCAAAGGTGCCCTTTTTGTTTGGAAATTTCCAAGTTTCTTAAAGCGATTTGGTCAAAAAACGTGCAATTTCGATATGGTACGACGGGAAAATTTTTCATCTCCGCCCCCCCCCCCATCGCCAACATTTTTTAGGTGCCCTTTTCAATACCCTAAAGTGCCCCTAGAAGCCGGTGCCCCCCAATCTTTTGATGCTTCCTACGCCCCTGAACTAAGTAGAAAAGTATAGTCATTATTTTTGAGCGCGTGTTACGTAATCGATACAAAAGATTCTCGTCTTAATCCATTGTTACCTGTGGGGCCGGGTAGATAGAGAACTCGAGCTTGGATTTCTTGCCGTAGTCGACAGACAGACGTTCCATGAGCAGTGATGTGAAGCCTGATCCCGTACCACCTCCAAATGAATGGAAGATAAGGAAGCCTTGAAGACCTGTGCATTGGTCAGCCTAGAAATTTAATTTCACAAATTTATTTGGATCAATAATGCATGCAATATATTATCAATACAGTTACATATAAGAATTAATAACTTGAAAATCCAAAAAGGCAAGGTACGAACAGGACTCTTGAAAAAGGACCCATGCAAGACACCTGCCAAGAATTTAGATTTTGTCATTGTGCATGTGCACTTAAATGTTACACATATAAATGTTACACATGAAAATGTATATTAAAAATTCTTAAATGAAAGAATGAATTAAGACTTAAGAAAGAGAAAGTATATGATAGGAAGTGTAAAGCGATGGAGTAAGTAAGAAAGACTGCAAGACATGCATGCGGAAAGTCAAATAAGACAGACATAGACATACAAACAGGCAGCTATGTCCTGTGTCAAGGACCGAGTCGTGTGCTAAGGACCACGTACAGGATAACTCATCATCATAGACTGTTTGAAGAAGATGTAAATAGTTCCGCTTAAGAAAGGTTGTAAAAGTAATGGGACTATGAGGTTAAAGAAAGATGATTGGAAAGCAGTAGTTCGTCACAAAAGAGTTTGAAGGAAACACTATAGCAACCTGGCTGAGTCTAGTACGGGGCGGAGTGTTTTCACACAATTTCGAGTTTTCCCAACTTCCACGAGTGTTGATATAACTATATATCAATACGGAAAAAAGTTTTATATTTGTTTTATAATATAGCAATGTCAAAAGCCCGAAGAATAAGAAACATTTCCGTGTTACAAGCGGCGGAAAATTTCCCGTGTTGACATGGAGTTATATCAACACGGCTCTTAGCCAGTTCAGAATTTACAAATGCCCTCGTTGTCAATTCATGAAGTTCAACATCTTTTACGCAATCAAAAACGCTCTTCATCGGGTCCGGACAATCTGCCATATTGGTTTTGGAAATCGTTTGCTATTGAATTAGCTCCTATTGTCACAGAAATTTTTAACATGTCACTAAAAACCAGCAAAGTACCTCAGAAATGGAAATCCGCTAATTTATTACCACTCCCTAAAGAATCACCATTAAATTCGTGTAACCAGTTATGGTTCGAAGTCGAAATTATCTTTTAACTTTATTTATCTATATACGAATCGTATCAATCTTAATTTTTACATACACTCTGTTTACTAGTTCGCCTGGCTATATATAAGTCCAATCTACATATTTATGCACTATTAATTGTCATTGTTCACGCGATAATAAGGTTGCGAAATAAGGTCAAGGTTACTTCTAAACAAGTTAAGACCAATCTCTCTGACGGACATCATCATGAGACTATTCGAGAAGTGCGTGTATAAATCTGAAATCGATCCCACGATCTTTTGTTTGAAAAAGTTAAAAAGCTACCCATTAATCCGTATGTGGTGAACTGGTTAATTAGCTTTCTAGAAAATAGAATACAAAGAGTAATGGTTGATGGAATGGTTACAGAATATTTATATATTAATCGTGG